AAAAAAGGAAGAAATTGAAAAGAAATGTCAGAGAGAAATTAAGGAAGTTTAGCATATCATCATGTCAGGTTCTTAAAGGCAAACTTTTTAAAATGTTGTTTAAATATTTCTGAAAGCAGATGCAAGTTTAAGCCACGTAGAGGAGAAATTTGTGTTTGTTTTATAAGATGGTGATAAAGGCCAAGGAAAAGTACACAGAAAAAGGTGGCTGTTGGTAGATCAAAACAATACTTTGGTAGTTGTGTTCTTTTTATTTGCTTTAGAAGTACATTGCAGACTTTTGAATACAGTTGGTGACCATAAATTACAAAATTACAATAATAAATTTTAAAAATTGTTATTTACCTAAGCAAATGTAAATGCAAAGCTTTTTAGGTCTGGGGAATAGAATCCTGTTATCTTATTGAAAGAGCAGATTCTCTTTAAAATAAAAATCATAAAGAACAAAAAACTTTGAAGTTTTCTTAATAGCAGGCTGCTAAGGGTAGTTCTTGATTTCTACTATTTCTAGATCAAAATCATAACTGTTACTATTCTGTTTGGTGGATGGTATGAATCATGAGCATTCACCCCCTTGGGAAGGCATTTTGGAAACTTGGGCGTCCTGAAAGGAAAATGATTTTTTTTTTCTGAAAAATCTTCTTTGACCACTTCAAAATAGCTTGGTTTATATTGTTTTGAGACTCAATGCCTTCAATTATTATTATCATTATGACAGATAAGTATTTTCTTTTTGGAGGGATGCTCTGTAGCCATTCTATCATTCTAGAATTCTCCAAAGCTTATAGTGTCAATTATCAGATCTCTATTACTCCCTTCTTGGACTTCATGTTGGTTTTGGGATTCCATTCCAATACTCAGGTGTTTCCCAGAGATTGCCATCTGTAGGAGCAGAAACTGCTGCCTGTGGTTGAGAGGGGAAGGTCCCAACCTCTGCTAAACTCACAGTGCTGGTGCCATGGATGCTCTGGGCTTGTGCAGCTGACAAACGTGCCAGGACAGAGGAGCAGGGCTGTCTGCAGAGCTGTTAACACGGAGCGCAGGGCTGAGTCGAATCTGGACTGAAAATGGAGTTTCTGCCTCCTGGGTCTTGTCAGCTCTGCAGGGGTGCTTCTTCTGATAAAGCTTCCATATGGTCCTCAATTCTGGCAGCTCATCTTTGCCTGTTTGGAGGCTGGATCCTCAATATGACTTTCTTCTGCTTTCTGCTACTGGCTACCTACTGCCTACTGTAACTCACGCTTCACATACATGTAGGAGTGATGCCATATTATTGCTGTATCAATTACTACTGATTTTTTTTTGAGCCACATTTGTGAGGTTAATTTGGTTGGGAATAATCTAATCTGCTACAAATACAAAAAGCAAAAATACATATAGTCAGCTTTGCTAAACACTATTTCACAGTAATTAATGAGTAATTATTTTAAATATGTAAAAAAACCCTCATATATTTCAGTCTTGGGGAATTATATTTCTGAAGGAGAACTTCAGATAAGGAGCAACAGAGAAAATTAGCAGCTACAGAGGTCTTGATAAAATGTTAGTGCAGAAATAATAAATGACTGAAAGTCTTCCAAACATGGAAACTAAAATGCTAAAATGCAAAAGTGGAAAAATGGGTGTCAGCTCTGTTCAAGATCCAAGAAACATCAAAGATACTTTTCCAAAGTTGGGTTAAATCTTGTTCTCAGTGGCATATAGGGGTGATTTTGGCAGTGGCATATAGGGATGATTTTACCATGGATATTTGAATTCCTGACTACTTCTGCCCACAAGTTCTGACCCACCTTTCTTGCAAACACATAAGTGCAAGCAGGGGTCATCACTGGTACAAGTTACATTAAAATCAAAAGATCCAGAAGCAACAAAAAATTCTAACCCCCTGTTACCAACTGGAAGGGATCAGATGTCAAAATAATTTCAAAAAACACAGGTAGAATGGTTTCCACTTAATTTAACAGAGGTTAAAAAATGGTGGTTTATCAATTTCCTGTCTAACAACTAACTCTGCCAGGCTACATCTGCATCACTGAACTGATGTGTGTTTCTAAAAATTTAAAGCATGCCTTGCCTTTATCCTATGTATCTAAGCCAGGCATACATCAGCCTCTTCCACTTCTTCTGAGAGCAGCCTGGAGTAGGGGGTGGTGAAAAGAACCCTCTAGCACTCTACTGTGGTCCTGATCTGGGTCATGTACCTTAGGGTGCACCTGCAGCACACCAGAGTAGCCATAACTGTTTGTGCTGAGGGATATGCTAATATTTTCATATGTGTAACTTGTGTTCTTTATTTTCAGTGAAAGATATCCTGATCTTTCACTGGTGATGACAAGAAACTTTGTATGTGTATGTGTGCATGTGTGTGTGTGTACAGTATTGCAGTTCACAGCTTCATTTCATTGAGTCATTTAATAAAAACAACATTTCATGGTGAAGTCTGACAGGAATACACCTACAGCCACCACTATAAGGGAATACACCTACAGCCACCACTATAAGTGATATTAGAGGGTTTAGAATTGTATTATTTTAATTTTCTTTCTTTAAATAATTGTTTGGGGGTTTTTTTTAAATCTTAGTGGTGAATTTCCTGAATTGAGCTATTTATATTTGTAATTTTTTTAGACTAAAGCTATACACATACATACATACATACAGAAACATCAACAATTTTATACAGTTTTTCTCCCAGTATATTTCCCAGGAATAGGGAGATATATAAACATTTAAACAGGTGACTTCTTCAGCATTTTCTTAGTTCCTTGAGGGACACTTGGTGTTATTCAAGCAGCATAAAATTTTCGTATGTGTGGAAGCTGCAAAACCAGGACAGTGCAAATGAATTGTAGGCAAAGGAATACTGAAACTCTGCCTTTCTAGAGCCTTACATCACTACATGTGGCCCAAAAGGGGTTGCATCTGTCTGAAACACAGAAAGTCAGAAATAAAGAACGAGTGTATTTTGATCCTCTGCACTTAAGACTAAAAGTAGAGCATCATGTCTTGGCTTGTGTGCTTCTCCAGCTATTTATCTTTAGAGGGAAAGATAATCCTTTGGGAAAACACCTTTAGCACTTCTCTCTTTTTGGTGTGTTGGGTGATGATCGTCACAGCTAGTCAAGCCCAACTGTATGTATAATTTTTCCTTTTCCATTTGAATGGATTTGTAGTTAAATGCTATTAAAATCTAAAGAATTTCAGACTAAAAGAAAAATCGGAACCAGCCCAATTGGTCCAAGCACTACTATTTCCTGCAAAGAGCATGTGTGTATTCATGCATGCACACTACTGAAAGAAAGCAAGCAATGATACTCCATTAATGTACAGATGGAAGTTTATATTGATTTCAGCAAAGACCAGAACATAATGGTAACATGAATAACAGATAATAGCATCTGGCACTTTTAACATTTTTAAGCCCTGAAATCTTTGGAGAACTGACAGTTGAACTAACTGACAGCTCTAGTTATTTCTCAGCGCTTTCCTTTTGGAGAGATTTTGAGCTTTTTCCAAATTCAGATTTTTTTTTTTAAAGGGGGCATCTGGACAGGCTATTTTGCTGAGAGAGAGAGAGACAATATTTTCTGGAAATTACCACCAAAATTAAGCAACTGTTGTGCATATGAACCAGATAACAATGAATTAGAAATAGATATAATCAGTCATTTTCTTTGCATAAGGATAACTGCCAGTCTTTGATTTTGAAAACAGAGCCTCTGGCCCTGACATCACTGGATGTATCAAGGCTCCCTGGGACAGCAGAATCTCACAGCAGAGATCTGGGACCAGATCCTCAATTAGGGACAAAATTCACAATGTCAAAACACCAAGTGCAAGGGGCACCAGAGCCCGAGTGCATTGGACCATTTTGTCCTGTTGGGTAGTTTAGTTGCCTCCAGTTCCCTGTGCTGGAAAGGGACAGGGAAACATCCAGACACCCATCATAGCCTTGTGGAAGTCAGGCATGGACTGGGGGGAATGTGTAGGTGCTCCTCTCTTGGCTCTTTTGCTGAGCTGTGATGGCAGCAGGGAGAAGGAATGACACGACAGGTCCCCTGCCAAGCGTGTGACACCTCTTGATCCCAGCAGCAAGGCAGCCCTCTCAGAGCTGGATGTGCCTGCTCATCCTGCATGAATGGGGAAGGGCCTGAGCCCTCAGCCTCCTCCTTCTCGCCAAACCCGCTCCAAAACCCTGGTACATGGATTGTTCATTATTGGTGAGATAAAGACCATCACTAGCCTCAAAGAGGAGACTGCAAAGGGTTCAAGAAAACCCAGCCTCCAAGAAATGCATGCTTTTTCAGTGGACACATTGCAACCCACTACTATATGAGAATATTCACTCAACTGAATATTCTTTTAATTCCAGGTGGTTTTTGAATTGGAGACCTGGATCCCCTAACCTCAATTGTAAGTAGCTTTACCCCATCTATGTCTTCTTGAAGTGTCAGATTTGATATTTGAGCAAAATATAATTTCATATTAAAATTATGATCAAATTCTATTATTAAATATATAAAACCAAACAAGGAGTAAGTAGTATAAAACCTTCCAACCACGATATCTTTTAATTTGTTTCTGAAGGCTGTAATGTAGGCTTTTATCTAATCAGCCTTTTAAAGAGCTGGTGGTCTCTTCTTGATTTAAGAAAAGTGAAAGCAGCCCATATCCATATCCAGGCTCAAGAGAAAAGAAATATACAATCAAAGATGCCAGAAAAGTAGAAGAATAAGAAAGAAAGGCCATAATAGACTATGCTGCCTTGTCTTCAAGACAGGATAAACAGAAATGAAAAAGTAAAATAAAAACAAAAAAAAAAAAAAAGATAATTACTGATTTGGAAGTGACACTCTAGAAGATTTATCACATAAGTTGCAAATTGGAGATGTAAAACTCAGTGGCAGAAATTTCTTGCAGTCTTTAAAATAAAAACTTTTCCAGTGAAAGAGTAGTACAGGCAAGGTTTTAAGCATGTTTAAATGCTTAGATATCAAGTTATCTAGAAGTCTGAAAAGATGGTATGAAGAAATTGTCTTTTATTTCAGCATGAACAAACTGTCTTGATTTGGTTTGATTTGCTTGCTTTATTTTTATTTTGTTTTAGTTGTTTTTTTTTCTTTTCTTTGAGTATCTGTGTTACAGGACTCATCCATTAGGAACAAAATTTAAAAAGCAGACTTTAATGATGGATACCTTTGTTTCCCTTACCTTAGAGACTTACAGACATTAACAAGTAGGGTCTGAAAGCAAGACTTTTTCTAAGTGAGTAATGGGGTTTGTTACAGCCCATCCAAGTGACCAGATCAATGTTCACAAGGTTCTATTTGTGGAAACTGATTCCCTTTAAACTGCATAAAGATCTTTAAACTCCTAAAGACCATCATATGGTCTCTCATGCAAAGGAAAAAGTCACTCAGAAACTGAAAAAATACCTCTTTTTCTTCTTCTTTCCTGCCATGGGTCTTGCTGTAGTTGATTGGTGTGTCCCAGCCTTCCTGTTCACAAAGTGCCTGGTAGAAGGCTGCATTTACCAGGATGCTGCTTGCTTTGAAAGGAGAGGAGGAAGGAGTGGGAAGTGCTGTGCTGGAAGAAGTGAGAGGCATAACTTTGTCTTGGCTTCGATTCTTTTTCATGCTCAAATCCAGTGTGCCATTTTCATCCACTTCTATCTCAGCTCCCTGACATGCAACAGGAAACAGAGACATGTTTAGATACAGACATGGTAAGGCTGTAAAATAACCATGTGGTGCTTTTAAAGGATAAATATAAATGCACGCTTTTATTTAAATTTATCTGAATCTAAACCCAGCTTTTCGATTTATGTCAGTTAATGTCCAACTCTTAGGCAGACTTAAGAGTAGCTTCAGTAATGGTATCCCTGCATCTCAGCTTAAACATAGTAAGTGGAATTTAAATAAGATGCCACTAAACCATAACCTATACACCCTAAATCTAGTTTTATTTAAAAAAAGTTTAGCTTTAAATCTTCTTGATCTTTTCACTCTTACAGAGAACTATGACCCCAATTCACAGTTAAAAGCATTAATGCATTGTTTAGGTCATCAACAGCATTACTATTACATATCCTCCCTTCCCCCCACACCCTGGAAACATTACAACATCTGCATCATGGTGGGGGAGAAGGAGGGGGAAAGAAATACATCTAAAAGTAGCACAGTAGGAGAAATTTTCACTAGCATTTTCTACATCGCTTGAAATAGCATACTGATGAATGATTATTTATCATAATTTGACTAGGCCACTAAAGCACAGGTCTGCACTGAGACCACTAGACTGGGAGGTACAGGAGGGTCTTGAGGAGGTTCTCCCTAATGGAGACATTCTGCCTGAGTCAACAAACCCTTTGCTTCCTGGGAAGCACAGCACAGAGCAGCCTCTAATTGCAGAGGTGTGTGCAGTCTGGGGAGAGACCCAACCTCTCTTTCCAGTCTGGGAGAAACTCTCCTGCTCACAAAAAGGGGAAAATGCTGCTTGGCTGTACAAGAACAAAGGAAGGAAAGGTCACTGTTCTGCCTTACGCAGATCACAGAAAAAGAGGACAAACTCCTCTTCTAACAGTGATAAAAACCTGCTGAAAATGCAACTTACAAGACAACAACAAATTTTCCCTCATGCTTAATATGCTACACTGCATATTGACATATTTTCTATATAGGGATGAATATAAGACTAGTCCTTGCTATTGCCAATGTTTACTGAAGGCAAGCAGGAAAAAAGGTGAAATGTGGCTTCTGGAGGACTACTCAGTAGTCTAGTTTAATGTTTTCCTGAATAAAGTGGAAAACATTCAAAGACTATGGAGATAAACAGTGATGTCAGATATCTACACAGAGAATATTGTAATTAACACTGCTCATTGTCTTCCTGTTACTGTCATGACTACTATATTTATCTTGCATCACCACAAAGCTTGGATAACACTTGGGAATTTGGGGTAGATGTGTTTGGTTCTGTGTAGGAGACAGTGGTATAACCCAAGATTCCCTACCTTGAGTAATATAATAGGAAACTCATAGTGTAAGTGAATCATCTAGATAATGTGTTGTTAATAGAAAAGAGTCAGGTATGTCCAGGGGGAAATTTGTCTGTCTTAGACCTCTTCCTCAGAAAGACATTGGCTGAAGGAGTCCCTTTCTTTTTCTGCCCATTAAATATTGCTGGGGCATCATGATTAGTCAACCATTCAATTTCTAAAGACAGGGTAGTGAAACCTGTCCTTGCTTGAGGATCTTAAGAGTTGTGGTGAAACAAGGAGTTCTTCCCCTGTGCTGCAAGTGTGACATGGCCATGCTGGCTGGACCAAGAATGCAAGCCTCCTTCATACATCCTTGCCTTCTGCCACTGTCAGTGATGACTCATTTAAAGGTAAAATGTGACTGATTAAATCTTCTGAATCAGAAAGATATCAATATATTGGTGGTAGATGACAATTTAAGGCCTGACAATCTCTCTTCACTCAGCCAGCACGACTCCCTTTTGCATCCATGAGTCTGACACAGATGCCCACCTAGACCGAAGCACCACCAAGCCATCTGCTTGTCCCTGGTTCAGAAACTCAGGCATCTCTTATGTTTGCTTCTCCCACATAGCCAAGTTCACATTTTCAATCATACAGCTTAAAGAGAGAGATGTTTTATTATATTTATGGGAAGTAAATACACTTCTAATATGTTCATACTAAGACGCTTTGGTTATATCTTTCTGCCCCTTTTTAGTAAATAGTTTAATCTCCTGTGATAGTTTTAAGCCCTGAATTTGACAGTGCAGCTTATCCTGGATAATAACTTAGTAACCACAACATCTTATGCCATCTGTATAATATCAAATACATTTTTTACCAGCATTAATAAACCTTAGTTACAAAAATCCAAGATATTAACTATATCAGTGCCAAGCACACACTCCAGGATCTGACAATACAGCTCTGCCATGATCGCCCCAGTGTTTTTTGGCTTCATAGTTGATATGTAACTATAGCAATGAAACAGAGCTACAGTAATCAAGTTTAATGACCAATGTAAAGTAAAATGCTAAATATTGTAGTTGCTGACATTTTTCATAATAAAAAAACTTGGGTTAAGTCTGCACAACCAACATTCACATAAAATTCCAGACCTCTGTGACAGATGGCTTAGGAAAGGAAGCCATGTGACTGGGCTGCGGTAGTTTTATAGTGCAAAACCCATAAATAGTGCAGATTCTCTGTCACTGACAAAATATCAACTACTCAGAAGGCAACAGCAACAACAAAAAGGGCCAAAAACCATCAAGGCCCCCTTCTTGATGCAACTTGACATAGAATAATATCAGAAAATCATTCTCTCCAAGAAACAGACACCAATAGCTTCCATGAGGAGCTCTGACTGATAAGCAGAACATTTACTAACATGGATATTTAGAGCCTTCTCAACACTTGCCTGAAATTCATGTAGAAGTTGGGCTGCCCAACACGTACCTAATTCCTATGAGGGAAGGCTGGGTTGTGTGTTTGTGAAGTAGAGTGCAGATGGGGTTTAAGTGAGCTCACAGATGCACACAACAATTAAATAAAGTCATGGGAAAAATATCCCTCTTTGCTCACTGCAGGACTGATCACACGTTTACAGCATGTCTTTTTACTCAGAATGGTATAAAAGAGCTATTGCTTTGGTGCCTTCCTAGCAAACTCCAAATGGCAGAGCAAAAAGAGGGAAGCCAGAGTTATTGCTCCAGTTTACATTCCTACTCCCATCCCACCCTCCTCTCAATATGTCTCCTTTGCTTGCTTTACCACATTTATTTTTACATTAATTTTTAAATGGAACTAAGAAGACAAAAATGGCAAATGGGAAAATACACTAAAGCAGTGCTCTGACATGCTGACAGAAAATGGCACTTACTAAGCTTAGCTCAGGCTTGTAAAGGCTCTGTTCTCCTCACTGAAGGCAAGATCTTATTACTGCTGACTCTAGTGCATGTGTGAACAGACCTATATTATCCATTTATCATGACATATTTAAAATGAAGCAACTCAAACAGTGTAAACTGTTCTGATTATTCCTTAAAACTGGAAGCAAAACAAAGATGAAAGTGTATCTTTTTATTTCTTAACTTATGTTTGTTTTAAGCTGTGAAATTCTTTGCAGCCTGATTCTGATCTCACTCACATTTACATTTACACTGGTGTAAGCCAGGAAAATACCCACTGAAGCAATGAAGAGAAATCAATGAGCATGATAGGATACACACAGTAATTAAATTCAGGTTACTTCTTACCTACTACCTCATCAGTATGAGGAAATCCCCCCACCTCATGTCTTACAACCAGCTGGTAAAGGGATTCCAGAATAAAAAATGAAAGAAAAATGATCAGAGGACATTTTTTATATTCCAGTAGCTATTCAGTGAAAGAATAAGGTACAAATAGTACTTTATTACCAAAAATAAAGACTAATATAAATATGTAAACCAACACTAAAGAAATGGTTTGTATACTCTCCAGCTGCTTTGTACAATAAAGTCAATCTTTTTTAGCCTTATGACATAAGTATTAGGGAATATTTTCTAATACTTAATTAGGTCCTGTCCTTAGAACTGAATTACACAACTAGGACAATAAAGGATGCTAGTTTTTTGTCCCAAATTTCTCCTGCATTTTTTCATATGCTTTTGGCCCATCTGATCACTCATAACATTTAATACCCTTCAGTGTGTCTCCTCCAGTAATGATTACAAGTTAAGCTTTATCTCAGCTGGATCAGAAAGAGTAAATTATTGTGTCTGCATGGATCTTATTTCAAACCTGGGACACCAGGGAGATTGTGTCATGATATATAAGGGAATTCATGTACTTTTTGGTTGGCATCAGCCATGGAACTTAATGCTAAGGAAGTCCAAAGAAACAAAATGATCAATGATTTTGCATTCCCCCTAGCAGTTCAGCATGGTTTGGAAAGCTCAAAAGAGCTCTTAAGTTCTGGTATTGGGAGTAAATGAGACTCATATCTTGCCATGTGTATGAATAATATTCTTAATACAACTCCATTCAAAAGAGTACAATCTTTTCTATTCACAGCCAACAAAAACACATGCACCTGGTCCTCAGTTCTACACACTTAGACTTAAGCAATTGAGTACCTCTGCAGAAAATTAAAATATTAATTTGGGTCAAAATGAGAAAAGTTGTTAACAGCCCAACAACATCTGAGAGAAAAAATGGAGTCACAATTTAAGCCTAGAGCAGTTCACAAATTAAAAAAGCTAGCCAGGAAAGTGCTTAGAGAGTAATTTACATAGCAGTATTACAGGATGGTACCTAGTAATACTCTTGGATGATTTGTCATCCTGTATTTAGGCTTTAAGGTATTTGGAGTAAAGTACTGCCTGACAAACATGCTGAGTGCTAACTACAGTTTTTAAATAATAGATGCAATTTTCAACACCATCAATATCCAAGAAGGGAGAGATGACACAATTTTGTTCAAAACCAGAATTTAAACATTTTTAGCAAGTGTGATTTTATTTTTTGTTGTTGTTGTTGTTGTTTTCTTTCAAGGCATAGTGTGCATATGCCGTTTTGTCTAAACAGGTGGGAAAAACACCAAAACAGTCAACAAAATGTTTGGCAAGCAACAGTGATGAGGATACAGATAAACTATTGCTTGCAGCTACCTCACTGAGACTTGTGTGGTGAGGGCTGTAAACAGGGGAGATCCCTGGAAGTTATGATGATGTGGATTCTTACACAGAGCTAGAAACTGCAGGCTAAGCCTCCTAGGGGAACCCTTCTGGTGGCTTCAATGGGAGCTGAGTGAAGCTACATGAACTGAAAAATCAGATACAACCAGGCTTGGGGTACTGCCTGCAGGAGAATTGCCTGCTTGGGGTTATATTCAGGGGAAAAGTTTCTGCAGTCCCAGGCTGAATGGCTCAGGCAGCGCAACATTAATGTGGCATTAATTATTTTGAAAACTATATCATCAAGGTATCTGATGATCTTACTATTCTGTATGCAACCGATACATAATTCATAGAGAAGGTTTAAGATTCATTTTACTGTTCATTTCAGAATAAATGTATTATTTTAATGGCTTAATTTTTGAATTATTATTTTTAAACTTGGGCTATTTGTCAGATCACCTTGAACATAAGGTCTCTCTGGAAGTTTTTCTCATCAGTGGTACTGTTAATGTGTAATGTGTAATGTGACTTTTCTATCCTTTCTACACTTCTCTTTCTCTTTTGTTGGCTTGGACTCTCCTTTTTTGTACTGATATGTAGAGAATGAGAGACACATATTTGAATACCCATTATTGAAATTTGTAACTATGTTATAAAATACATTTACTTTTTCATTTAAATATTATGTGTATACACAGGAAAGTGGTGAATATTCAGGGTAAACCATCCAGCTCTTTCTAGGAGAGGGACAATGCTTTGGAGGTCAAGAAATAAAATTTAAGAGGAAAAAAAGAAAAAAAAAGATACTTGGGAACACACTTGTGCTAAAAAGTATTTTGATTTTTTCCCCACTTGTTTAAGCAAGGCAACATATGCATGTCTTGAGCAAATACAAGAAAATGCCACCTACTTTAAATGTTTGAACTTTAAATTCTGCTTTTAAGACTTAGAAGCACAATATTTTTGCATCTCTGACAATTGTGCTACTGGCAAAGTATTTCCAGCAAGCCTGGGAAATCTGCAGTCTCACATATCCTTGTTCTACCACCACACAGCCTCCCATCTGTAAAGAACCAAGGATTGGATTGTTGAGAGGCTGTGTGATGCTCAAACACCTTTACAAGTCAGGAGCTTTGAGCTGCTAAATTATGGAAGATGGTAATCAGGTTTTCTTAGAAAAAGGAACAAAAGGGTGTTTCAAGGGGCAGGGCTGAGGTGCTTGATACTGTGGAGCTCAGAACACAGCCACTCCACACAGTTATTTCCAAGCCTGTTGAATGTGTGTGCTGTCGTGTAGAAAAAGGAAATAATTAACTCTGTAGTAATGTGTTGCATTATTTGAATTCAAATACAGATAAAGTCTCAAGTGGGGTTTTTTAATAATCTAAAAATTTGTAAGATATTTTAGCAATTAAACATTTACATTTGTGGCCCCTACCAGCCACAGAACAATTTGGAAACACTGATAAATAATATTTTATTGTTTTATATTTTAAAATTAGAAAGTGTCTTCATTGAAGAGAGTCTGACAACTTAATTCCACAGTTTTTTGGTTTGAATCCTGTATGATCAAAGTAATAAATTTCCAAACCCAAATAAAAATATGTTTTGTGTACTTTTGGACACCAAATCTGTTGGAGGCTTACTTGTCTGTGTTTTGGCCAGAAGCTAATTCTGATTCTTCTGTCAGATGTTTTGTAGCAGTATGCCCTCCAGAAAGTCTGGCAAAATTGGAGGCAGGCAGATATCAAGGTAGGCAGGTGATTTTCTTTTAGTCTGGATTCCTGGCTGTGAAAAAGGAGTAAGCTATGTGCCCCAAGTGCCCCTCTGTATCATTACTGTTATGGTCACTTCCATTCAATCCTTCCCCATGATTTGGCAACTGTGAAGCAGGTACATAGGAGAAAATCTTTGGGTTATGCCTGGTCCCTTTACTGCTCTTCTCTGGCAACAAAGGTCTATTGCTGAGGTCAGCCAAAGGCTGCTGCAGCAATTTAATCCAACCATTGGCATCAGTTTCCATTTCCCTACTAGAAGAAGTCTCTATTAAAGACTTTTTTGCAGCAGATATCAAGGATGGATCTGTCATTAGGAAAGGTTCTATGAGCAGTCTTTGGAACAGATAATGAATAACAGGGAATGCATGTGGACATACTATAAAGTTTACCCTGTGACATCTCCCAGCATTGATTTTAATGTCCAAAACTTCACACACAAGTAGAAATCAAAAGCATCAAAGTAGGGGATACCACTCTGCAAAGCCACAAGGCTCGGGATACCTAACAAGGTATTATGCTGATGGAAAAATGAATGGCTCCACTCAAAAAATAATAGCTAACCTCCTAGAAATGGTGACTAAACCCTCAACCAAAATGTAGATCAACAGCTGTGGAAGACACATCTAACCACACTGAGCCTTGTGGGGTTCAGATAACAGAGAGATAAGGTAGAGTGACACTGACTTGCACAAAAACAGATCATCTGTCTTTCAGAGCAAACATCATGAGTCAGAGTCCCACAGCAGAAGCACACCTGCTATGCTCTGTTCTGACAAATGCACCTCCTTTCACTCCCCAATGATTTCTCCTTAAGTTCTTTTAATGACACCCTCTCATCTACAAAGAGCTTTCAAAACTTTCATTGCAGTGGAACATGTGTGACTTTAATGCAAATAATAAACAACAGTGCTCCCACACCACTGTCATCAGAAGAAAATCTTGTCTGTTTTCATCAGCATTATAATACTATGTAATGGCACAGAAAATAAGGCTCATAGCTCACACAGCACCATTTGTAAATCATAAAGATCTGTGAGGAAACGCAGAGCAGAAACCAAAACACGAAAGCCACACAAACATCTACAAAATTAGGCAGCTTTCCATTATGACAGACTTGCCCAAATTATCTATCTCCAAACGCAGTGGGCCTGATTCTCCTCTCTTGCCAGCAGAAAGGGGAATTTTACCAAAGTCAGTTGTTATTCCCCCCTCTCCATCTTGCCAAACTGTTAAGGGCTCCAAACACAACAGACTCCATAGGTAGTTCTGTTCCACTGCTAGCAAAATATACCCTTGATTAATCATATGATTTTTATATATTTTTTTAAAAATCAGTCTCCAAAATGATCACCAATGGCAGGTCTCAGAGGGAAAAAAATTCCCTCTTAAAACAGATCTTACTCATTATCTACCACAGATTGTTGCTGGATTTCAAACACCCTTTTTCTTTTTTCCTCCCAGAAAACTCCCCCCTTGTAATTAGGGCTCAATTATGAAAACAATTAACAACATAATTCCCCCTATTTATTTAGTTTTATCAGAACTGGTCACTGCATTGCTGATTTTTTTATTTTTTTTTTTCTCTGCCTCTCCTCAAAAGAGCATGCAAACAGAAGCCTCCTTTTGGGGGATTTAATGCAGTCACTAACATGAAAGACAGTTTATTCGCACAGTTCAGTAGCTAGCACACCCTCCAGGTTCTTGGACTACCCTACCTTGGCAGACAGACTCTGTGGTTTGTTGGAGAGGATCTCTGCTGCTTCCCTGCAGCGGGTGGAAAGGTTCAGGATAGCAGCAGCTGCTGCTATGTGGGTGTCTTCACTACATTGACCGTAGCTATAAGAGTTGGCATGGCAAGGGCTCTGTGTGTGGGCGCTAGCACTAGGCAGTCGATTAGAAAATTTCACTGGATTTGAAAAATGCTTTGCTGTTGAAGAGAGATTTGATTAGCAATCGCATGTATGAAATTTTTTCCCATTAAATAGTTTTGCTTCTCAGACTACAATTTCATACATAGAAAAAAATACTCAAAGATTACATTTAAAACAATCCTTTTGCTATTGCCAGCAAGGGTTTACAGTAAAAATGGCTTTAGAAACACAATAATTTAATTTTTCCTTGAGAAAAACACATCTGTCAACAAACCTGCTGAGATTTTTTACTCATATTTTACTTAACTCAGGCATTAAAACCAATGATGTCGGAGAAAAGACTGAGCAAGCGTTAGTGTGGTATCCACCATGATTTTACCACTCCAGTGGACAAATGAAATTGTAAATGTATTCTTATAAGGGCTTCCTCTTGAAGCTCTACTGTGCAAAAAAACAACAGTGACTTGTCCAGTCTTGGCTAAAACAACACTGCTTACTCTACCTAGATGAATAAGTCAGTTATTTAAATAGCTCTGCTTATGTGACTGAGGAGCACAAAACCGGGCTCTTGAAAGAAACAATCAGATAAAAACATTACCTGTAAGGAGTATTCATTACTGATTTTGTGGAAATATTTATAAATTTAAGTCTATCCCTTAATCAATTTTTAAAAATAATGAGCATACATATGATCTTGGGTTACAGTTTTTTGTTGGCTATATTTGGAATAATACACAGTTTTATTAGGCACAGGGAGGTCAGTTGAATATTAAATACTAACAGGTGAACAGAAAAGCACTTTCACAGATAAAAGCGGTGTGTTTGGTTCTTTGTTTTCTTCTTCAGCAGCAGCATTTACTCTAAAACACTTAGAGAAGACTCTGCTTTCTCTTCTGGATTTTGGAGCTTGAGATGGCATAAACTGTTGCAGAGAGAACACAGCACCATGATTTCAGCTCTAAAGAAGCAATAATCACTTCTTTTGTCTGCAGCCCTCACAGTGTCCTACAAAGATAAACTAAGCAAAATCCAATTTCTCAGCCTACACCCAGATACATCAAGAACATTTCTGCGTATGGCCATCTGCTCGTTCCCTAAAGATCTGAGCCCCAAGGCTCTGGATCCCGTTGGATGTAGAGCTTTGGCTGAGTGCTTTTTAATGCTAAGAGCTACACAAGGCATAGGAGGACTCATCTTCCCTCAAACTTGGGATGCTCTGAAAGAAATGCTTGTTTATGTGCTTTGACTGTAGCTGAATTCTATATTCCATTTCTCTAAGCACTAGAGGCATCTCAGTAGAGCAGTACATGAAAGCCTCATGATTCAGTCCTCCCTTTTTCTAGTGAAAATTAAGAAGGATTTATCTACCCTGCTGTAAGCACAAACAAGACAGTCTACATTTTTAACAGTTACTACAATGAAATTTAAATTGTGTTTAAAGACCAGAAAGTGTATTTTTCATCACCTATCCTTAAAAAAAAATATAAAAATGATCAACCAACAAAGAGCCACCCCAGGCTATAAAGGGTGTATATTTTGTTAAAATAAAAACAAGTTTACAAGTGCAGAATCCACAGAGGGCTAATGATGGGCTTTTGTCTGGCTACATATTTACATAGGACTCTGAACCCATCACTACATCATCAGCTTCTTATTGCCAACTTTTGTATACCTGGATGGTTAAATCACTCACCAGCTCTTTTACTTTCACCTTTCCATTAAAATAATAGCTGCACATTGCAATCTTTGCAAGAACAACAGGCTGTAAACTTCAGCTCTGATATACTTCATACATAAATTGCATATATATGTTTCTGCATTTGTATAAAAACATTTCAATCTTTTTTTTCCTTGAAATGAACCTGTGAAATAGATATACATCTGTGCAAAGAGACAGCTAATAGGGAATATTCAATTTTACAAACAAAATTGGAAAATCTGCCACCCAAGAAGCTGGCAATGCATATATTTGCTTTCATTTAAGCAAGCCTATTTTCCAGGTCAGATAAATATCTACTTTTCATTTGCAATTTTAAATAGAGCATTTATATATATATATACACAAAAACCAGATACCTACATGTATGTTTTTGTGTACTCAGGCACATACACAAATGAAAATAAAAACACAAAAAATTTATAAATATATAAAACATGTATAATATTTTATCATATTAGATGTATATTATATTATAATTAACTTATATATAAATTTATTCATTAACAAAGTTTTTTGCTTTTCTGTTCACCTTACTATGAATGTTCCTCTTTGTTGGAGTAAGTGGGACAAAATTTGTTTTCCCGTTTTATTTTCCTTTACTAGTCTTTATGTCACTAACAAAACAAAAGAAAAAAGGCTAAATAAAAAGCCTTTTTGTCACATTTCTCTGGAACTATTTTCTTCTGAATCCAGTTTTGGTGGAATGAAACACTTTTTTTCCATTTCCCTCATGACAACAGAATCATTTGTTTCTTTAAACTAAAGTGTATTTTATAATCATCAATACAATGGCAGAACATTGTTGATGTTTCCCATCTGCAATAAACCATCAGTTTTCACACTGTGGTATCTCATTTGTACAGAGTAGTACCTCAGGAAATCTGTAAATGATGCAAGCAGAGGAATCTTGATAGCAACTTGATGCACTGGATATGACTGCTCTACAAATATGATTTAGTACAGAAATACGAGGTACCAAAACAAATTCAGCCCAGGCCTGGAATTAATGTAGCTGGGCACATGCTCACCTAAAAGGAATAATACCTGTATAAATTCACCTAAATGGTACCTGAAGTACCTCTGAAACCTAACTTGTATTTCTTTGTACTACAGCTCATTACATCTTGTGCAGACACATTCCATGGGACTTCTCATCTATCCCATAAAGATATCACAATAAAGGAAGAAGGTAATAAGTAAAACATAAAGCATTACTTTTTATTCCTCTTTTCTACTGATAACTGCTTTTAAGAGAAACATCAAAAAAGTAAACTTTGTAGTGATGATATTTAGTGTTTAGTGTTTTAAAATTCTATATTCTGCAAATTAGTAATTCTATTTTACACTATAGACACAAGTGATTAAAGATGGTTTCTACAGACCTTTTTAGAATTCTAGAATTTTGAAAGCACAACAAGCAAAATGGAAAAAAAAAAATCATTGCTATTTTCCCCCTTTTTCAAGAGAAAATTGAATTTTGAGCTTACATTCAAGAAACTGAGGTGTTTTTTGACCTTGTGACACAGGTGCTGTTGTGCGTTTGCCAAAGACTTGTGCATCAAAACTGGCATAATCAAATGGGACTTTCCCAAACTTCTCCTGTTCTTTCACCAGGGTGCCTCTGGAGGAAGTGACTGGCTGTGAAGTTCTGTAACTGTACTGAGATACCTCAGGCTGCTTTGCTAAATTTGTCCTGCAGAGAGGAGGAAAAGAATGAAGGAGCAACACAAGAATGTCTTTAAATAACCTTGTCTTGAGAAAGAGGGTATGATTGCATCTCATAATCCAAAAGTGTGCTATCATCATATGCAAAACTTACTGGTGGGTATACGAGAAATAAACAACATAAACATGTGGTGGCTGACTAGTAGTCAAAAAGAACTTTGACCACTTCACAAACTAAAAGATGAGGACATTAAAAAATGCAGTATTCTTTAGTAGTAGTTTGAGATATTTACAAGGAAGTTACTGATTTGCTGCTAGATTACCACTTCCTTTAGTTCTAAAAATTTGTCTGGATTTTTTTCTAAATTTTAGTTTTTTTGGATCAGTATTGTTCTCAGTTTACTGTGAATGAGTATGGTATAAATATAATATAAGATGATCTGAAATAATTGTTTGTGCTATTTGGTAGGAACGAATGATTTATGGTGTGTTATTTCATTTAGTCAATATTCAGTAACTACTTGTCTTTAGTAATTTCCTTAGGACTTTTCATATGTAGAGTTAAGGCACGTGCAGTTGGCAGACACATGGACATAATATTCTGTAATGGCTCTGAAGGAACCATTAGAGCTGATCATGTCAATAATCCACAAATTAAAGTGTCCCCAAATAGACCTGAATATAATAGGTTGTAATGGTCGTGGTGCCAATGATGTGCAAATTATGCGTGTCTGTAGGGTCCATATAACTCAGACAAAATACAATTGCAATAAAAAGTGTTTCTCCTTTTTTATATCATTGTATAAAAAATAAATTAAAGTAATTAAACCAATAAACTAAAAATACAGATATTCTATGAATTGCTCTGATCAGGTTACTTGTGTGGAAGTAAGATTTAATGGGATATATTTGATTGCTTATCCAAAGATACGTCTTTTGTCTATGTCAGCCACGTGCACAACAACCAACAGAAAGACGGTGGTTTGTTTCGGGAATCAGATAGTTTTGCAGAGGCTCATCATGGAAAACTGAAAGATTTCAGTTTCACCAAAGCTGAAATCTGAAGTGGGTGAAAGATCTGAGGACCAATTAAGAGAGTTTGTGCATAAATAAGAGTTTGTTTGTTGGAGAAACTGGTTTGTGATGGTTCCTACCTGTGAGTCTGATCATGGCACTGCCCAGCTTTTTGAGACTCGAGCTGGTTCTTTTCCTGGGACATTGCCAGCTTTTCAGCTGCAGCAATTGGACAACCAGAAAGGCTGTTGGAAAGCAAAGGTGAAGAACAGAAACAACAAGAAAAAAACATTGAAATTAATTTTTGAGCAAAGGAGATGTGTGCTGTTTTTCTATGGAAACCAGTGACTTTGATGGTCTGTGCATCTAAGGGAACTGCTGCTGTTATAGCCCAGATTCATCTGTTTTTCAATCCTTAATGCAAAACTGTGAAATCTGTGTATTTTAGGTGATATATCTGGAAACTGAATCATGTAGGAGTTTTCCACAGTTCAGCTTTGATGTTTTGTGTCTGGCAAGTCACTAGTAAATTTTTTGACAAATGACATTTACTTTATCAGCTAAACCATGCATATAAGCCTCCTGCTGATTAAAAGGAAAGTGAATTTGGGAAAAAAAATGCAGGGATATATGAGAGAATGTTACCAAAGAACACATTTTGTCATTTCAAGTTGTGCTAGCTTATATTTTCCTGTTTGTTTTATTAGATTAGGACATGTTTTCTTATCCTATTCATGGGTTGCTCATGATACAGCTGATGTGCTTCAAAGATAACTGGGCATTGGAAACAGGAAAAACAAAGAAAATATATCTGCTTGTGCCTTAAATATTCTTGTAGACAAACTTGTCATATGACTAGTAAAGACTTACTATTTCTAGTATTAAAATACAGTACGATAAGCCTTAATTTTGGTGTACTATGCAGTAACAAATCAATCAATAAACAAAAAAAACCCCAAAATCTCACAGAAATTCAGATCAACAAAGAAAGTTGTTTTTTTTAAATTCTCATGTCCCAGGTTCAGTTTTAAGACTGACATTATATTTTCCCAGAAGCAGCAGAAAGCAGTACTGAAAAGACCTGTGCTGACAGCAATAGCTTGCTGGAGACAGAGCGTGTTGACTCTCTGCCTCACCTGCAGTCCAGCTGTGATTTCCCAGCTGCCTGTCTGGAAGTCTTTTCTCAATTTTACTTCCTCCCTGCAGGCACCACATTAAATAGACAGGAGGGTTCCAGGCAGGAAGGTGGCATTCCTGAGGGTAATAAGTGGAGCTTCTAAACAGATTTCAAAATAGTTATCTTAAAGTTTTCTACTTGGTTAAAAGGGAATGTGCCTTGATTGGAAGTTCCTGTCAACAAGTAGCATGTAGTGGTGCAAAACAAATGAGTTTTGGTTTCCATTGGGTTTTCCAATTGTAGCAGTAATAATGTGTTTTTCATTCTTTCCCCTTGTACATGATGATTTTTCAATGTGAGGACTGTGATTGAATTGTAGCTTTAAATACTAGTGGAATTTGCCATCCTCTGTGCTGCAGCCATTTTTTAATATAATGGAATTAAACACAATTATTTGGTTATAAATAATGCAGGCTGCCCTTGCAGTTCATAGGCACTCTTCAGTGTAGTGCATAGCATCTAATTCCAAGGTGTGCCTATCAATTTACTCCTGAGTATGTGTTAGGTTTTAAGTGGACGGGAATTTTTCTGATCTACCTTCGGTGCGTGTTGCGATTGCTGTTGACATGTCCTCTTCCAGTGCATCCTGGGGTAGGGCACTTTAAAACATTTTCATGCATGGCAAGAACTATACAGAAATAAAAAAAAAAAAAAAAAAAAAAGTTGATAGTAAAATGGATCAATTAAAAAAACCCACATCTTTAAAAAAATGAATATAACCTCTTTGAACTCAGATTCTCAATTCTTTCACGTTTTTAGCACAAAAGAAGAGGAGAAACCTACAACACAGTAACCATGGTGCCTCCAGCATAAACCAGTTTATTTCTATATTACTGTGGTGTGGCTTTCCACACACACAAAATTGTTTATACAGATTTTAAAAGAACATAAGTGGAAGTCAGCAAAGATATTAAACCATTAAGCCCTTTATACACCACTAACACTGGAAAAGACAGGTGATAGAGGAGCCCTGGGCCACACAGCCCGTATTAGATGGAGCTGCAGTCCCTTTGTGTCCCAGGGAAGGAAAGCTCTCAAGTACAGGAAGGTTGTTCATACATTTTATCAGATACTTTGAGTATGTCCCTTCAAACATTACACCTTCTGGTCATCTGAGCTGCTCTGAAACTACCTTGGAATAATCAGGAACGGTTCCAAGCATCAGTTTACACTCTTAGTAGCAATTACAACTTCTTGCCTGTACATTTCTTATGCCCTTGGATGTGGATCACATTTGCTGAAACACAGATATGTTTGTGTAAACATTATACATCTTTGGGCCATAGTGTTTCACAAAGGCTCTCTGTTCAGCCTACAGGTTTCCCAGGAACTAAATTCTAACCTTTTTCTTTTTTCCTTCTTTTTTTTTTCCCCATCAGGACAGAGCACATCTAATTGGAAGTGTGATAATTAACAAGGACTTGTTAATTTTAAGTTTTTAGGAAGTTAATGTTGCTAAGGCCTTCCAAATGCAGTCTGCTTAATTCAGCAGCTGTTTCCATAAATACAGTTTAGTACCAGATTTTAAAAAAGGGAGAGCTACAGTTAGAAAGAGGACTTTGGTAAAGTGCAAATATCCTTTTAATTTGTTGTTATGCATACCACCACAAAGTACAATCTGACTAACTAGGTTGTTTAAGTGGATAGTTTCACATGAAGTTTTTTCTTATTATAAAGCATTTCATTGGCCCATGTTGCAGGATTACACACACAAACCAGTGTAATTAGAGCAGCACTGTTAGATATAAGCAGGGAGACTCAGCCTAGGCTGGGCATAAAAGGGTTAGTGTGATGCTGTCACAAGACAGGGACCTGCTGTGGACCAGCGCTGGGATGTACTGATGGAAATAACCTTTTTGAGCTCAGCAGTAAGGGGGGTACTGGAAATATCTCTGCATAAGCATGCCCAGGCCTCTCATCTGTTGGCAATGAAAACCAGCAGCCTCTGTGTGTGACTGCGGCAAACGGGGCCACGGCTCCAAACCAAGCATGTGATGTCTGTGCCTTAGCAAAGGTGTGAGCGAGCAGCATCTCGAGGGGTCATGGGACTGCAGCATGCAGGTCTGCTGGCAGCGTGGGGGTGGGCTGTCTGATCTTGTTCTTCCCAGGCTACCTAAGGAGCCTTCTGCTGTTTGTACCAATGCTGCTGAGGAGAACTTGAGCTGTCAAGTGTGGGAAGCAGGACTGTGACTGTGAGCTGGAGGGCAAAGAAGGTGTGATGGCTTCTTGCCCAGTCTCATCCTGCAATCTCATGCAGAAATAAGGGGATTCTTCTCCAGCACGAGCACGCACTACCCACAATACTGAGACAGATCCAGTTGTTATTCTGGACTGCAGGGTGATGATACTCACTTTCTAGTGGCACTCTAACTTTATGTGGACAGCCTGAGAGACTGCGGTGGTGAGGGTACAGCCCAGTCACGTGCCCTGTGCCATCACATCCTGGGATGGGGCATTTGGTTTCTCTCTTTTCAGGCCTGGGTGAATCTGCAGAGAAATCAGATAAAGATTTTGTTTGGGTTTAGCCCCTGTATGCACTCAGATGAGTGATCCTAGCAGTGTGATATTTTCTGTTATATACTTCAGATTTAATTACTGTCTGAAGTTTTAAAAGGGATGTATGCAACTGAAACATCACTTCAGGTTTTCACACTGTGTCCTTTAAACAATGATTTCCCTCTCCCAATATGCCATTTATGTGCTAAACTATATAGCTTTAGGATTGCAGTGTCATTTATTCCATTCAGAGCCTCAAGCAGGACAGAAGCCACAATCCAATAAGCCAGAAAACTGGCAGCATGAGCCAACAGCAAGATCTATAAAGGAATAAATAAAAAAAGAAGAAACAATCTTTTGCTCTGTTAATGTCAGACTCCAGGAAGCTGGGACAACCAAATAAAAGCTGAGGTGTGAAACAAATAAACAAACAAACAAAAAGCATTTCAACCAGAAGCCATTCCTTAAATATCACAGATCTCTGGGCTGTAGGTTCTTTGTTAGGAAACTGAATACATGCCACTTTACATTTGAGAGGCAAGGCAAGCAGCTCCCTCTGGTACACATGGCAGTGCTGCTTTGTGGAGCAGCCCACAAAGACACTGAAAACATGGAGCAGCCGATACCCTTTCAAAGGCGAGGTCTCAGCCCAGCCCTACAGCTACCACTCTGTAATGGCCACAGTGCATTCCCAATTTCTGTTTCAAGCACCTAGAATTGTGCAAGAAGCGCTGGTCAGAAAACCTTTATTTGATTTCCAATGCAGGATCAAAAGTCTGGGCGAGAAAGGAGTGATTTCTGGTCCAGAAATTCTCTTGTGAGAAATCTGAAGGAAGTGGCCGCATAAATTGCTGAGGATGGTTTTAGCTCCATCTGTGATTGGCTGCCAACAGCATTTGGTGCTGAGGGAGAAAACAGCTGCAGCCAGCACAGGGAGCTGCCTCCTTCTAGCTCATTTTTCTGGACCATGAGGTGGGATCTGCTTAGGGATAGAATCACAAGGGTCAGCTGAGGTTTAAACTTCCTGGCAAGTTTTTAGATTAGAAAAGTATAAATAAATAAATAAGGATGAAAGAAAATAGACTCAGCACCATCGGGAGACCACATGCTTTTTAGAACCACTGCAAATGGGAAGTGCTGCAATAGTGAACAGAAAATAAAGAGGGACCCTGAAATATGATTTAGTGTTTCCTCAGGTAATTGGAAAGGTTTATCATGAAAGAGGTATTTTTCTCATCTAGCATCCAAGAATGAAAATCAAAAGCTAATGGATTTAATGGTATTTTAGAAATAAAACCCAGGTAGTTATATAATGGCAAAATCACATGCCCAATACAACACTGACTACAGTCATATGATGCTTATACAACCCAAACAGAGCTTGGTGTGTTTCTCCATGGGTGTTACCTCTGCACTCACCTGGAAACCACAGCTAATTATAATATCAGGTAAATCAGGAAAGGATAAATTCTGCATTCTTACATCACTGCTTTGTCCTATGTGTGCTGTGAGAAAGTCACAATGTGAGCCTGGTGAACACAGCTGCTGTCAGGGTAGGAAAAATGTATCTATAAAGTTCTGCATAAAGTCATCTGAGCAAATAAAGGTTCATGTAGCTTAATAAAAGGTAGATAATTATCATGCATGCACAGCTTAAGAAATGCTAATGAAAACACTGCTTGAGACACGAAAATTAGATGTCTGCATTTTCTTCCCAAATACTGAGGGAAATATTTTATAGTTGCAGCTCCTAAAAATGTCTGTCAGTTCTCTTTCACACAAAATGCTTTAGATAAGTAAATTACTGTAATATTTGCAGTGTCCACAGGGACTACTGGCAAGTTACATTAGAAATACCAAAGTAAATCATTTATCAAAAGCAGAAATTGCATCAATGTTAGAGTGACCTCGGGATGTTTGGAAGGCCAAAAGGAAAAGTCAAAGGACAGATGAATGTATTGTTACTTACTACAGAAGGGAGTGTGCTTATAAAATGACATCTCTTGATGTTCTGTAATTATCCTCAATTGAGGAGTTTCATACAAGACAGCCCAGTTTATAGATCAAACCCAAATCTTTTTCATCTTCACTTCTGGAAGCCTGATTAAGTGCTGAAAATTGTTTGATGTTCTTACGGGTTTGTAGGATACCACAAGCCCTCAGAAAAAATAAAATTCTGGAATTTACTGGTATTTCTCTTGATGGCAAATGAGGCAGAAGAGCATGGCTTATACTTTCCTGGCTCAGAAGTGCTGGATGTAGCAAAGTGTAACATTGATTGGTACGCGAAGTAGACTGAACTCAGAAAACACACGGTTTAGGAATTAGGTAGTATCTTTGGGAGAGGCCAATCTTTCACCCTAAACTTGCCCTTGAGCACTGTTTAAATGCCTTGTCTTTTGGCTGCTGAAACTTTGAAGGTTTGTATTAGTACCCTACAGAGGAGGAAGCAGAGGAGGAGGAAAAGGAGGAGAAGGAATGCCAGTGCCAGCTACACAGGCCTTTTAGTACCCATTACTGATCATTTCACACAGCAGTTTGGCAGGAAGCCAAGTACCTAGCGTTTAACCTGGTTAGATGTGAGGCACTAGTGTGAAGGTACATAATTAACAAAATTACCAGCTAAATTCCAGATTCTTTACTGTTGCTATAAAACCCAGCTCAGAATCCTCTATCAGTCACAGGACAAATGCTTAAGCCAGCAAGAAGAGCCAAAAATACTTCCTTACGTTTGCTGCTAAATATCTGTCTCCCACCAATGTCAATAACTTTGGTTTGTCTCCTTTCCCCTGCTAGATGCTCCAGAAGAAACCTATCCAGTTCCTTGTAGGTGCTGTGAAACACATGCCCTTGCTCTGCCTGCAGAGCGATTGCTTGCTCTAGCAAACTCAAGTTCCCTTTTGTTTTGTCCAGCTCAACTGACACATCTGTGGTTTCTGACAGGCACTCATTGTCATCTTCCTCACTTTCAGGGAAGAGATTCTGAATTCTCTTCTCGAAAGGATCAGAGTGAGGCTCCTGGGGTGCTCTTAGCTCTGTTTCTGAGTCACAGAGTGTTTCACAAGGACCATATTCGACCTCTTCCTTCTTAATTTCTGGAACTTCCAGGATGCTGGGTTGATTACACTCTACAATATATTTCTGAGTTACATGGGGCTTTACACTTGTTTCTTCTGAGAAATTTGAAGAGCTATCCCACTCGTTGTCCATAATTTCAGAGTTACTTTCATTTTCCTCAGATGAACAGTATTTTGGGTCAGAAATAGCAGTCTTTTCCTTTCCTTCAGCTGAGCTAATCAGGTAACATTCATCAGTGTCATCACTTTCTGTTTTTAAAGATTGAATTCCACTATCATTTAGATTTTCTGCCACTGTTTGACTGGGTGCCTCTTTTGCTACTTTTCCCATGCTCATCAAAGATTTGGTGACGGCATCTTGGTAGCTGGAGTAGTTGTCTTTTCTTTGACTAGAATTTTCTTGCCCAGCCAAATGAGAGCTTTCCTCAGATGATTTTGGAGTACTCTCCTCTGCATAAGAAAAAAACCAAGAAAAATATATAAGAATGACTAATTTTTGTGTCTTGTAGAAGTGACATGAAGATACTGACTTACCAATTGCTGTTTCATTACTCAGAAAGGTACTCTGAAATGATTGAATTCACACCAAGGATCTGTTTCAAATGACTGTTTGTAGAATGATGAAAAACCCTTCTCAGACTATATATATATTACAGTTCCAGCACTATATGAGAAAAAATTACATCCCCCATTTCTCACTGATGGTGAAAAGATATATTTTCTTAGATGATACACACACACTTACACATGTATACATGTGCATAAATATAATGTGCCAAACATTGATATTACATATACACATATAATCTATATAATGTGTGTGTGTGTATATATATATATATATATACAAGCACACAAACACATTCTAAAATTCCTTTGATCTATTTTCACTTTTATTTCATCTAAGATTCCCAAATTTTTTTTCAAAATAAACCCTAATTACTTTCCCAGTCACCCTGGATCCCATGAAAAACCTTGATGGAAAAATCCTCCATACTTCACAAAGGGCAAGCTTCTGGTCACCATTGAAATTGCCACACTAAGTGATAGATCAGGTCATGCACAGGCAAACAGAAATGGTTGTTATGTACAGACTCATAAAGGACTTGTTAAAGACACCACTGAAGTGCATCCTGTCTTTATAAACATCTTTCTTCAGAAGAAAAGCAGCAGCCAGCAGGTAATAAAGGCTGCATGTAGGAGAGGTTGTCAGTGTGGAAGACAATATGCCTTTTGTATCTCATTTAATTTTTTATAAACATTTCCTCTGACAAGGACACTCAAAAATACATCTCCATCATCTTCCTTTCTGGTAATTATCTCTCTAAAATCAACACTGGTTTTGCCAGGATCAAGTAAATATTGCCATAGTAACTAAAAGCATTTTTGGATGAAGGGAAGAATTTAGTCACAACACTAGCCCCTTCAATAATGCTGATTATAGGGTACATTCTTTTGTTGGGATCTATTCAACATAAACTGAAAAATTTAACATTTTACTTCCTAGAAAGGAGGATGAATAAACAAGCATAGACTATTTCATAAGATGTGTCTGTCCTTTCCTGAAACAGAAGAACTCCAGGTTTAAATAATAAATTAAGCATAGCCTAAAATGCAAATGGAGTTTCTCTCAATAACACAGTGAGCTATTAAGAGAAAGTGTAAAGGGTTATGATAATTTTAAAGTATTATGAACTACAGAAAACAAATAAAAAGCATTTTCAGTGAATATGTCCAATTCATTGAACTATTCTCTCAATCCACTTAACTACCCACATGTGTACAATAATGATTTATAGACATTATACCTAATTATGCATATTTGGGCTGTGTTAGAGTGCCTAACAAAAGCTCTAGAAAGCAACAATTACCTCTGTTGCTTAGCTACATAGTTTAAAATATTCCTATTAAGTGCAGATTATTGTGGAGGGGAAAAGGGGGACAAAAATGCACATGTGCACCACAATGCATTTCACTTTACTGCTGCCAAACTGTTAGCATTTTGGGTCATTTCCAGTTTACATAATTGTTTGGTTCAACTGTTTGTTATATGTTAAAAGAAAATATTGATTAATTCTTATTCTTCTTCAGAAAATTGGACTCATGCAGGCAGAGGTGGCCTTGTGCACCGCATGCATAAAGTTGTATTTAAAGAAGTGTCTGTAACTTTTTAGCAGCTGGTCTGCTACCACACACATTGCATGTATTCTGAATAAAGTCTGCCATCTTTTCACATCTCAGCAAGTAAGAATGATGATTTGGCTCTATAACTAACTTTAGTAAAATGGATTTCCGTTATTTGCTCTTCTGCCATTTGGAAAATAACAGAATCCCATCAGTGGGAAATTTCAAAAAGTAACAAGATCTATCTTAAAAGAAATCACCCACCCATCAAAAGAAAAAACAAACAAACAAAATGCTCAATGGTAAAAGGTTTTTTCAGTTATTCTTATGTTTGAAAGATGAAAAAAATAGAAGTTGATGATAAAAAAAAATTGTTCCTTAAATAATCAGCAATTTTTAAAACAATGTTTAAAAATTTGTTGTTTAATCAATTTTAATGATTCAGCTGTCCCAGCTTTGCTTTTTACATCTACATGCTGTAAATTTACTTTTAAAATAATCAAAACTCAGCTTAGTTTACAGTTGCATCAATCCATGAACAGAATCATTAACTGATCAACTGAAAAAGATCATGAGTCCATAATAAGGTGAGCAATATTACACTAATATTCCCAAGTAAACCTGCATACCCATACCCATTGTGTGCTTTCACTGAAACTTGTTTTTTAGCTGATAAAATTTATGCAAAAGATGTAAGTTGTATCATCAATGACACAAGTAGGTTGGAATATATCCTACTGATGTCTAACAAATCTTTTTGAAATCAAGGGGGATTTTTTGTTTTGACTGAAGGGCATGGTTTCCCTGCTTTTTAATCAATAGATTTGGCCCAGCACTTGCCCCTTTCTAAAATGGGAACTTAAAGAAGTATAATAACTTAGGTTTGTCTGTATATGACACAAAGTCTACCTTTACACCTGTCATAGTAATTTCCCCTCATCAAGTTCTTCAAGTTGTGCAGAGGACAGAAAAAGGGGAAGAAAAAGACATCACTGAGTGTAACTCTGGATGGTCAGGAGCCAGGCTGAATCAACACAAAAAATTTACCTAAAATCCAAATATCTAAAATAAAAATGTCAAAACAATAACAAAACCCCACAACAAGAGCCGTACAGGAACTCTCACTCCAACAGATTCCCTTCTGGTGTTAGGAGCTAAAAATATTCCCTGAAGCCTGAGCAGGAACTGAGAGGTATGGGATATTTTCCCTGATTAATTTTTCTTAAAAATGTCACCCAAAAGACAGAGACATTGTGTATCACCTTGCTAATTAATGTTCTGTTTGAAGATGGAGCTACCTTCCAGGCTTCCACAGCAATGGGATGCAGACCTTTGGAAAAATCTCCTCCTAGAAGATTTACTGGTGACAGCTGACTGAAAACTTTGCTGTTTGTCACAAATGTCACAAAGACCTCCACTGACTTTGGTAGAATCAGGATTTGACTCTTTAATCTGAAAGACATTCTTCTTCCTCTTCTGTGTATTTTATAGTAACCATATGTATAAAATTTGTGTGGTTTGTTTTGCTTTAAGGAAGTTCAATTTAGACTGCATAAATACACAAATAACTAATCTCAGTTCATCATAAAATAATAGGACAGCCCAGGCTGGAAGGGACCTTGAGAGAACACCTAGGTCCAGTCTGTTGTAGTAAAGGGACCCTAGATTATATACCCCACCCTATCCTTCAAGAATGTTTGATAAGAATAAACTAAGTAGAAAATCATTTATCTTTTAATAAATTTATCTTTTAATTCCAATAGCAACCAGCAACTGAGTGACATTTAATTTCATTCAGCTTGCATGTTATCTATGATTACTAATTTCCCATTTCCAGATCACATTCCTTCTATTTTAACATTTGCTGTGTGCAGGTGACTGCTGATGTCTTCCTGATATCTTCCATTGATATCCTCTCACCTGTCTGATCAACTATTTTGGCAGGACTTCTTAAACAAATACGTGCAAAACAATTTGGTTTGAGAGTTTTTGTACAACTTGGATATATTTTTAAAATGTATTAGAAAGGAAGAGTAATCAAAACATGCTATAGCCATATCTTGTCCCCCATCCTTGTCCATATTTTCCAGCATACACATTGTAGAAGCTGCTATAAATTGTTGGATGTGTTTGGCTTACCAGTGTTGGAATAACAAGTACGAAAGTGCTGAGTCTAATAATCGCGTTAAACAGAACGCACACAGCAGTCACACGCATGAAATTGCTTTGCTAAATGTTAAAGTCAACAATGTTTTGCTAAGCATTATTTTTCTCTCCTAAGAGCCTTGTATATTCCAGTGAAAATCTGCTCTTCAGAAATGCGTGGGATGGTGGCGGGCTTAAGCTTTGACAGAGGTAGTAGAGAGGCAGATGTTGCTCCATATCTGACCTGCTGTGGTAGTTCTCTCTGTGTGACCTACAAAGCATTTACTAGACCCCAGGAGAAGTTATTGTACAAAATAAATGGAAGTTTGATGGTTAAACCTGGACAGAAAAGCACCACTCCAACTCCTTAGAAGTCAAACATGACATGCATCCTGTTACAAAATACTGGTTTTTATCTCCCTTCCTATGGAATTTGAGTTCAAGTGGAGTTCAAGCGACTACCTGGAGCTGAGCCTCTCTCAAGGACACTGATATCTTCCTGTAACTCCGGCCTGTCTTCATTTTCTTCTTTGCATTCCAAGCTGGGGCTGTAGTGGCGGGGTTTCATTAACAGAGACTTCCTTTTGTTGACAGGAACGCCTGATATCTGATCTTCAGCTTTTCTCTTCTTAGCCATGGAACATTTGTAGGCACTGCAATGATCAATTTCCAGGGACAGAGAAAAAATGGGAGAAGTGAGGAGCAAATTGTTTTTTAAAATAGCACCATCCTATAGTTTAATTCTAAGTATAAAAGTGAGCATTGACAAAATGCTAAATCACTTGCAGCTTCAGCAAATTTTGTCTAGTGGATATTTAATTTTAGCTCAGGTACTGAAAGTCCAGGTCACAGGAAAGCCCTGTTTCTTTTCATTGCTGTCAAAATCTTTTGGGGGGATGGGGAATCAAGAGTAAGACAAAACCAAAAAAAAATCCATAACCCAAAAGCCTTAAGGAAAGGATATACAAAACTGTAGCCTGTGTTGATAATCTATGAAAACATCTCAAGGGAAAATTATACCACCAGTTGTATTACAAAATCCAGAGCCTTTGGTCCATTACCTTTACATCAGTGTGAATATCCAATTATACATGTTGAGTTAAACAGCATAAAACCTGTGAGAAACATACTCAACATTGATAACATTTTGCAACACAGGTCCCTCTTTCAATATTAGACCTGAGCATCAGTCTGCTTTAATTTACTCCATCCATATCTATGTGAAAAAAGGGGGAGCTATTCCCTGGGAAAGTTCTTAACCAATTCAGGTGCCTAACTTTCAGATGACTGACAAGAGGAGGAGTGGCAGGATTTTAGAGAGGAAGATCTTTAGCAGGTTTAATATATTTCTTTCAGTTCCTAATAGACCCATATATTGATCTAAATATTTGTAAGTGATTTGACATGATTTTGTTTTTCTCTCACACAGGATATACTAAGAAATCTCTGTAGCATGAATAATAATGCTCATATTATGTCAGAGATGAAAAAACTACATATATGGATCTGTGTAATCCACTCAGTGGTTTCTCAACCTTAGGTAGCCCCAGGGTGCATTACAAATCTATACGATGCCCTCAGGTGTTGGATTTTGCATTTGGCTCACTGACTTAGTTGCAAGATTTGCAAAAGAAAAAAAAAAAAGTGTGAAGAGAACTATTTGTTACACATATTAACATATTAAAAGCTCAACAGCATAAATTAATCCTTCTAAGGTATCTTACGTGAGCTAAATTGGCTCAGGTTCTGATTGTTTTGGATGAAAGCATATGACTAACTTGAGCTTTTTGTTAAAAAAAACAAAAATGCTTTTGGCTAATCACCTTTTTGGCAATCCCTCATTGCAAATAAAAAGGACATGTAAATACAAAAATCTGCATTTTAGGGGGAATGTTAAAATTCCATCATATACATTTCAAATACTGCATATTTTTGATCTTCTGAAGCCTAAAATGCTATGGGCATCTGAAATCCAGGAATATGGGATGGTAAGTATATGCTATAGTTGAATAAAATATGTCTTTTATGTTATTTCTCTGTTTATGAATAGGGGATAACATGAATATCATAATGAAGGTCAGAATCACAACAGTATCAGTGTACCACTGGAAATAATGCCAATATAACAGATATCAGAGATGGATGCAGTGTCAAAAAATATGCATATTTTTTTCTAAAGAAATACAGTTAGTTTGTATTTGTGAATGGCATTTCATACCAGTTATGTTGTTCCAAGAAAATTGAATAAATGACATAAGTTTGAAATCCCTTCATACACAATTGTTTTTATAAACCAAAACCTTCACTAGGTTTGCTTTTGTTTTTTCTCATTTATTTGTCAAGTTACTCTCTTGTAGATATTGTGGAAGTGTTTAGGATGTGATGAATCTCCAGTGTTTATTCCCCTTTGACCAAGCTACAGCTGTTGCTTATACCAGAGTAATTAATAGTTTTGGAACAGAAGATCCAATTGGATCATGTAATATGCCCTCCTGTGCAACTCAAGTCACAGAACTTTATCTGTTTCTTCAGCCTTAATCCTGTAATTTGTCTAAGTACTCTCAAGATTTGACTAACCTCAAGTTAAGGGAAAGCATGATAACGTGGTAAATTTATTGCTGTATTCTTGCTCACTGAGTACAATACTTTTCTAGTAACATAATGTTACAGGTCTCGCATTGTGGACTGGCATAACCCTTATTCAACACGTTGGTTTTCCACCACAACCAGAAAACAGAGTCAAACTCAGATGTCAGCAGACCATGGTCAAGACCAGGGTGTGGGTACTGCTGCCACCTGCCACCTGCAGATCTACTCTGGGAAGTGAGAGCACAAGAATCCCACCTAAGAGAACCACCATGGTTAACAAAAGCTGCTACATCAAAGTCGGGACAGGAGGCCCACAGATCTTCCTGGGAGCACATTGGTCATGTTAGAAAATTTCTCCTCCATGAAGGACTGATGCATTAACTTGTCCTTATTGTACCTTTTTCTGTACATGAGCAGTTACCCATCCAGGTTTCCTCTGTAGGTCCCATCTTTTTTTTAAAATACATAAGATTCAACTTTTAGTAAAATCATTCCTCAAACCAATCTGATAACAGGAAGTTGACAAGTATAGTTGTTGCTTATTTCCTAGGAAGTTCAAATTGCTCTTCATTCTCCAGAAAGAGATTTTCAGCTCTTGCTTTTGTTGATGGTCCTTTAAACTCCTGGTTTTGAATTAATTGTGATCTATTAGTTTCCAGGAACTAATTTAAAGTTCTATCACATATCCAAAATTGCTCCCCTTTTCTACCACAAAATGAAAAATTTAAATAAAATAAGAAAAAAATTCACAAGTGGCAGCTTTTTCAAGTACACATGATTTGTTAAGGGTTTGATAATGGAAAACAGGAATTTTGCTACTATGAAAAGAATATATTTATGCCTTTGTAACATTCATGTCATGCCAATTTAACCTTTGTCTTTAAAAGTTTCTATTTCCCTCTTTTCCTTGTGTGCTTTCATACATAGACACACATGTAGGTTATCACTGATTTGTCAAGCTGTACTTTGTCAAGTGGTAAACCTATAATTTAGTTTCTCTATTACTCATCTCTTAAATTCAGCATCTAATAGTTTTGTTGCTATTTATCAATGGCCTGCTTGTTGTCATGGAACACTGATTCAGCTGTCAAGGTTATTTGGTAATCCAAGGCTCATAAAACAGGAGAAGCTCTTTTTGTTATGAGCCCAAAGCCAATACATAGTTGGGTTTTTTTCCCAGTTTTAACTGTGCTTAAATCTTATAGATAAGAAATCATGTTTGTATTATCTAGAGTAAGCAGAGTTTTTATTATATCTTTTTTAATCATGTTTCAGTTGCCAAAACCAGTCTTCTTTTTATCATAGTGTATTATCACAGTGTGAGTCAAGAGGCAAAAATCTAAGACACTTAGGACCTGGCTGCATATACTGAAAAAACCCCCAAGATAAATCTTTCATAGATATTTTATACCTAAATATATTTTGGGGGGATTTAATAGGTCTTTCCTTTATTTCTTTTCAGATCACATCTTGCAGACTCCGGTAGTATACAGGCAGTACTGTCCTTTGGTCCCCACCACAAAACAATGTCTCAGAAGAAAGAGAGAGGTTTTCAGCAGTCCCAAACACATAAAGCTGTCCTTAAAACTGGCCATGCTTGTTTTTTTGGTGTTTTTTTGGTGTTTTTTTGTTTGTTTGTTTTTTTTTGTTGTTTGGTTTTGTTTTGTTTTGTTTTGTTGGGTTGGTTTTTTGGGGTCTTTTTTTTTGTCTTTTTGGAGTTTTTGGTGGGTTTTTTTTGTTTTGGGGTGTTTTTTTGAGGTTTTTTGTTTTTGTTTTTGTTTGTTTGTTTGGGGGTGGGGGTTTCATTTGCTTGGTTTGGATTTTTTGTTGGATTTTTTTGTGGGTTTTTTTGCAATTGGTTCATCTAAGTGATGTGTTTGTCAAGCCTTCAACCCGACCTTTAACCATGTTGTATCCAGCAAGGATTTGTTGTAGTTAATCTCTGGCAAGCCTTCCAGACCTCTGAGGATTTTTTCTTATTCACAATAGTCTGCAGATTGGCAAAGCATGAAAACAGAGCAAAGAATTGCCATAGTGGGTAAAATCAGAGGTAGATTCAGCCTGAAAACTGGTGCTTAATAATGCTTGTAATGGATACCATGTAAAATAATGAGACCAGAACACATCACATCTCACATATAGTTCTTAGATTCAAGAGAGAAAATAAAGGCCTTTAAATATCAAGGTACATTTATTTTCTACTGATATGTAAGGATACCATACCTTACGTGAGTTTGTGCAACAAAACTTAGTGGAACTTTTTAGTTGTGCAGAAAATTATTTTATATTCATAACATGAATTGGATTTTGACTGTTTGCCTAACACTGAATTACAGTTAAAGGAGACAGCATCTTCTGATGTGCAGAAGCATTTAACTTCATACTAGCATTTACACAGAGAAGGTTAGTCTAACTGCTCTTTAATCATATTGTGTTTAAGAGATTGACAGATGCTTTAAACCCTGATTAGTTTTTTTTCTTTTCCCAAACTTTCAGATGCCCTAAGACAATGCAGTCAAATACTACGTTTTCTTATAGGAGGGAAGAGCTGGTATTTGAAAATTCAGGGACACTTGCCACTCAAAGATGAAGAAGTACAAGTGTCCTTTCTTCTAAGAATGTTAAAAAGCAGAAATATCTAAGAGGAAGATAAATTTTGAACATCTCCCCATCTTAGTATCCCTTTCTATATCGGTTTGTTCTCTAAAAAAACAGATGTTTTTTACATCTACATTTACATTTACAACAGGATTCTGTCTAATTCTTTAGCACAAGGGCTTCATAGGGTTTAGTCTAGAGCAGTGAAAATACTTGGTCACCTAAAATCACAGAAAAATTTTGAGTTCCTCATAAACAGATGATGATTAGGAAAATTTACTAGCACTGGATACAGGAAGATCTGCTCCTGGGATGGATTGCATGTCAGTTCAAATTACATTGCTGATATAATTTACATCAGCCATCAATGACAGAGGTTCATGAAAGGAGCTGTAATGTCAGAGTTCAGAAAAGAGTGCTGGTAGTCTCATCACTGCAATTGAAAACCTAAACAGGTGTTGCTAAT